ATTGAAGAGCAAATGATTGGTAGTGCAAAAATAACACGCCTTGTAAGGTCAAAGCTTATGTTTACTCAGACATCTAGTACTTACCGGCTACGTGTCCGCAGGTTTGCATTAGTATCTTCGGTTTACGACTTGGCCAAAGTGAATGATCATGCAAAAGCTCGTAGTCCATATTCATTGAGTCAAATTTCTAGGATCACCTCAATTATACTACCTGATGGAGTGAGCTGAAGCTGAATCTCACCTCACAAACAGGTTCAAGACGCGATTGGAGGAACTCCTGGATGGGAGAGCTGACCGCCTCCGAGACTGCTTCGAGTGATCCCAACTATAATCAGAGATTATCAGGAATACTTACATTTGAACAAGGAACTAGGAAACGTTAGAATCTGTTCAAAAAAGGGTGCTAGCGCGACTGCGCCGCTTTTCTGAACCGACCATACCCCAGTCGAAATAGCGCTCGCGCAGTGATCCCTTTCCTCAACAGGCCCATTAGATGAGTACAGGTGAGCAGGAAAAGGTCGCTTGGTATGCATTCATACTCGACGGACCGATAAGAGAATCGGCGATTAGCGGTTCAGGAAGAATGCGCGCTAAAGGAGTGGATAGGTACCGATCGACGTTGGACGCTGACGATTCGACGTTTCTGGAGAACGCACGTCGCCAATTCTCCCATTCTCTAGTTTACCCGATTCGCCGGATCGATACCTATCCTCTCTTGGCGCATTGTTCCCAAATATCGAATCGCCGATTCTCCAATTCTCCAATACTTCAGTCGCAGAGCATGAACGTAGCTTTAGTCGCGCAGGCACCGTATACGCCTGCCCACCGAAAACCATTTAGACTCAATTTTCCCGGAAGATCTTTCTGAAAATGTCAGAACACTATTATTTTATAGGTCGTGTCGGCTTGTCGGTCTGTATGCACGCCTTTCCGTGTACCAAATGCTTCCACAGCAAAGAAAGTGCTATCGGGCAACCAAAAAAGTTCGTGCGAAGGTAGCGAAATAATAACATAAAAAACGGGTTAAACTTAGATTTATTCCGAAAAATAATTACCCTCAGCAAGTAATACACTTTCCCATTTAGACACAAGAGCATATATTCCATTTTTGTAAAAATCTTGCTTTTGGAATTTACGAAATTTTTTAGTTCCTTGTCTAAAGGCACTTCATT